CACCTTCCATTTTCCCTCATTCATGAAAAATGAAGGTTTCATAAGGAATTTTATACCAAATGGCTTTTAAAATATTTTAATATTGAAATATAACATTTATTCATGTATCAAAACATCACAGAAACCTCCAAAACCAACGGGGACATACTTCAACACCCTGAAGTGCATTGCAATGTTACAGCAGAATTGGTCCACACAAGACTGTTAGACTGAATGCCACAACTAAGAGCACCTGTGTCAGGTGCTTACTCAGATTTTTTTTAGAAACATCATTGTCAGGAGAAAAGCCCCCAACTAAGATGGGACCTGGAATCAGAGCCAAGCATCCCTAAGTTGGGTGCTGAAGGACTGAAGGAATGGGCGCCAGTTCTCTGTACCCTGGGACACTACAGCTGTTTGCCACACAAGAAAACTTTAATCAGGCAACATAGAATGCTAGGCCAAGATCATGCCAAGCTACTGAGCTGACTGGGGCATGCTGGAAGTTTTAGGTCTTTTTTCTGTCTACAGAATGCAGCAACCATGTAGACTCTTCCAGAGCTTACTTATTGCAAATGAGCTAGATACACAGGAAAGTAAAATATGAGCTGTTTCTTTTTAAAAAATGCAGATTCAAAACATAAGCATATCAGAATCACCAAATACCCATAGCATACATTTTCCATGCTTGTAAAATGACATTTTCCCTTGCATTTGATAAGAAACATACTTTTGGTAAAAATGTCAGAAAGTATAAACATCTCAGTAAGAGAATACATACAAAAGTTTCCAATGGTTTTCAGCCTTCTGCTGCCAAAGTGTCAAACCTTAAGTGCTCCAGGAAACTGTCAGGCTATGGGATCAAGGACTAATTTACAAAATCTGCATTTCTAAATAAAATTATAGTTAATATTATCAGCAGAGTAGGCCTTCAGTATCTGTATTACAGGTTCTTTGGCATAAGCACCCATAGAAGTTACACGCACATTATATAAATAAAAAACAGTTAATCTGTACGCTTTAATGCAGGTTGAACCTTCTTTCCATGAATAGCAAATATCTCCTGAATCTGCCACCACAAGCAATTCATAATTAAAACACTGCTTTCCAAATGATGCTGCTGCTACAGCGCCTTACCTTTTAGCAGAGGCAGTGGAGTTAACTCAATAGGCTTGCCCTGAGACCGAAACTGGGAGGAACTTTGCGACCTCTTCTGCCTGGCTTTTCTGACGGACTTCCGAGAAAATCCGTCTACTTTATCCACTGATGGAGGAGTGGTTGGTGCTGAGGACATATCCCTACTGAAGGGAATAATTATTATCAATATTCCCAAATAAATATTCTAAGAATTTTAGAACTATTCCTCCCTTCACATTTAACCCACCCTTAAAAATCATACTTAAAAGACCAAAAGACATTTATTTCATGTGCAGAGTTTAGGTTAACGGGATGTTTAGGGTAGCTTTAAGTTAGCAAACCCACTGTCCTAGTTCTGTTCCGATTATACCATCTTGCATGCACCCATCAATAGGTATCCACTAAGCACTGCAATTGACACCCAGATTTGGCTTTATTTTTCTTTCAATTTTACCTTAAGTCTCATATTTTCTTTTGGGGGGGATGTTTTAGAATTCTCATTCAAAAATTCCATTTGTAAATTAATTTAAAACATTGTAAATAGGTAACAAACTCTCTACCTGATATTAGTACATGTTTCTGCAACAGTACAATGTGCTTTTCAGACTATGCATTAAAATGTAATTAAACACACACTAACCTAATCTAACATATTATGATTATGTAATGCAAATTTTGTAAATATAATGAAACTAAGCACACCTGGACAGTTACCATGTACTTTACTAATTAGGAATCTATCTTTTTTTTTTTTAGCTCCTCATGTCTTGAACCACAGAAATTGGAAAAACTGCTAGGTGACACACAGTCCATATCCTTAGCCTGTACCTACTCGTGTGTCCCTATCCAGCCTTCTGTTAAAGACCTCCAGGAAAAGATCCTACACAACCAAACTAAGTAGCTTATTCCACTAAAGAACTACTCTTATATCTGGAAGTTTTCCCAGTGATTAATTATACACTACCATCATCTATTTCAAATATAATGTTTTGTGACTGGTTCTTTTTTAAGTTTCTACATCTTACTTTCCCTTTTCATGGAGAAACACCAACTCTTTAAACTAAATATACAATATTAAGTATATTTTTAAAACCGTCATTCCCAATGGTGGCTTTTTTAAAGTAGTAGTCAAAGACAAAATTACATAGTGCAAATGAACCTACTGAAAATAATATAATATACATTAACAAAGTCAGTAAGTCCATGAATATTACACAAATCTTTGCTAAGATAAAGATTATCAATGCCTTGATAAAACATGTTTAATTGCTGATATAAATATTGTTGTTCATATGTCAATCCAAAACGGGAACTTGCATATGTGAAAGTTACATGGAAAGCAATTTAAATGGCAGTAGACATTTGCTGAAATTTGACAGGCATAAAAGCCATAACTGCGTGCGCAAAAACTACTCTCACTCTTTAGAAGGAATCACATGAGTCTTTGACACTCATCAGTGAGGGCAGCTTTATCTACAACAATCCCTACTTTGTCAACTCATCATTCTCATGGCCATTGAAACATTGTTAGCCTGAATTATACTGATATTACATTAGTATGAAGATTATTAATTTAACTATTATATATACACACACCAGGAATATAAAAGTTCATGGGAAGTTAGTTGAGTTCTTTGGAAGGAAAAGGGCAGAATAGGAATATAATTTATAAATAACTAAATATGTGGGAACTCTATGCAAAAACAACCTTTTACTTCAGTTGTAGAAAATCAGTCTATAATGTGCAATGAAAGGAGGGGAGCTGAGCAAAAGAAAGATGTCACTTTTACTCAAATTGATATCTAAAATTCAAAAAAATGGGTAACTTAACCCATTTTAGGGATGTTTAGCCTTAAATCTCACTTTCAATAGCTCTATTTTCTCCTAGGATCCAAGTGCCCTTTTGTTTGGTTTGCCTTTTAATCTCAGTGTACATTAGTTTGCAATGTAGTCTTAGGTTCTGGGCCTGTTAGCCACAGACCAGCTCATCCAAAGGATGGTTTATCTTTGCCCTGTCCACAGTGTTTAGAGTGCCTCCATTTATCCAGAACTCATTTCACAAAGACTGAAAATGGAACTGCTAGCTGTATTAATGGACAAGCCCTTAAGCAGATCGCTTCAACTGCAGGATCATTGTGTCAGCATGCAAGAAGCTTTAGCAACACTTCTCTGCTGTAAATTTAGTAACAGTTCCTCTCTCCTGCTTTATGCATTATTAAGGTATAATTCTAACTCGACAAGCCTTGGCAACGCAACCATAAACACTGATCAGGGAGGGGGGTCCCTCCCCACACACACATAGACCTCATTCCAGACCTGTCAAGTGACCCATCGCTTCTTTGGAGAGCTCCAAGCCGAAATTAACAGAATGGAGATCACATTTATTTACAGTGGAGCTCCCAAGTGGAAGGCACGACAGAGGCTTCCCTCCCCCCCTGTCGGTGCTCATCCGCTAGATCGTCTAAATTGAGGAAGAGATTATTCGGCCGGGGGGGGGGTCAGATTACTGATTTTATTTTTAAGTAAGTAAGATGGTTATGATTACGGCAGATTGTAAAGATATGCTGCAGTGATCAGGAGCAGGGTGAAGGTGTGGAGGGAGGGTTAGAGTTCAGGAAAGGGGCCCGAAAACACCCCCTCGAGGATCATGGGTCGCCCCCCAACCCCTCGGGGCCCAGGAGTTGCTGCCAGCCTGGTGCTGGGAGGGCTGCCCCGGCGGCCTGGCTTCACGGGGCGCCGTTCCCCGCGCGGCGCGCGCAACGGAAAGGGGCCCGATCCGCACGGATCACGGCCGGATCCCGCCCCTCGGTCCCTCCCGGGGCCTCCCCTCCGCCCCCACCCCGTCCCCCCCGCGTGCCCGCCGCCGCTTCCCACCTCCCGCTGACGGCGGCCCCGCCGCGGGCCCGGCCGAGGAAGTTACCTTGAACCCTCCCGGCAGAGAATCCCGAGGCGAGAAGGAGAGGAAAGGCGCGGGGGGCGATCCCCGCGCGAGGCGAGCGCGAGCCGGGCCGGCGCGGCTGGGCGTCTGCGTGAGTGCGGGAGGCTCCCCCGCTGGCTGGCTTTCTGCGGTGCGCTCCCTGCCGCAGCAGCAGCAGCAGCAGCAGCAGCCGCCGCCGCCTGCTAGGCCTCGGCGGCCTCCCGCTGCACGACGCGTCGTTGGCCGCGGCGGCGGCGTCAGGAGCGGCGGCGGCTTCCACCCGGTCCCATGCACCGCTCCCGCTCGGCCGTCGCCCGCCTGCCCGCCTCTTCCTCAGCGACACGGTCCCTGCCGCCGCTGTGCCGCCGCCGCCACCCGTGAGGCCTCCTCCTCCTCCTGCTGCTGCTGCTGCTGCTGCCGCTTCTCTCACATTCCCGGCGAGTCGGCCTTGGGAAAGGAGGGGCGCCGGGCGGGCGGGCGGGCGAGCGGGGGTGCGGCGAGAAGGAGGAGGAGGAGGAGGAGGAGGAGGAGGAGAGCGCGGCGATGCCGGCGCGGCTGAGCGGGGTACGGCGGCGGCCTCCTTCGCTTCTGTGGCGGTGACTGCGGCGGGCGTCCCTGCGGCTCTCGTCTATTGTCAGGCAGGCAGTCACTGAGCTCCGGCCATGGCTCTCGCGCGCGCTCCCTCTCCCGCGCTCTCTCGGGAGGTGAAGAGGGGAGGAATAGGCGGCAGGGGCGCGCGCGCGCGGCGTTGACGGGCGCGCGCGCGCCGTCCGTCCGCCCGTCAATCAGCCAGTCGGCCCGCCCCAGCGAAGCCTGCCGCTCGCTCGCGCCCGCACGCGCCGCCTCGCGCAGACGCCCGCGAGACGCAGGAGGGGGAGGAGGAGCCGGAGGGGGTTGCTGGCCGGCGCGCGCCGTAGAGCGTGCGCGCCGCCGCCGGCCGCGCTCCTCCGCCGTCACTGGGGGCGTCCCGCCCGCTGAGGCGTCCGCGGGGCTCCCCGTCCCCGCGCGCGACGAGGCGGAGGAACGGCCCGCGCGAGGTGAGTGAGGCGGCCGTGGCGCGGCTGGCATGGGCGGGACGGCAAGGGGGAAAAGAGCCGGTCTTTCGTACCGCCGGCCGGGGCGGGGCGGGGCGCCTGGGCTGCGGAGGGCTCGATGTGCTCCTCCCCGTCCTGGTGCGCCCTCGCCTCACGACCGGCGGCAGCGTTTGTGAGGAAACGGGAGGCCCCTGAGGCCCGCTGCCGGGCTACCGGCCCGGTTTTCGCTTGGGGTTTCAGGGACTGCGAATGAAAAGCCTGGAATCGTCGGGGAAGTGGGCACGGAGGAACGCCGAGGTGGCGGGGGGGGGGCGAGGGGACCCTTCCTGGTGCTTCACACGTTGCGCGGTCCCTGCGCAGAACGTCGCTCCGTCTGCGGGAGCTTCCCGGCTCACGGAGAGACCCGCTCGCGTGTTCGGCTGTCTCTGCGTCTGGGGTGGGCTGGATTCAAATCTCCCGGGGGAGGGTAACTAGGAACAGCCCGCCCACCCCAGAAAATACATCCTGGTGCAAAAGACATCAATGCAGTTAGAGTTAAAGATTTCTGATCCCGGGACTTTATTTTGAGTGCCGGTACTGGATGGCGCTCATAGGGTTTCCGCACAAAAAAGTCGTGGTTACTCCAAGCTTTCTCCATTTCATATAATTAAGGGCAGGGGGAAAGAGAGTTGTCACTTCTGTTGCTAAACAGGAGGACATCAGAAATCCTGGCTGATACGTGCAAATCATCCAGATGTCTCCAGCTAGAGCCAGGTCTGGCTTGTGCCCACTGCTGCTTTATGGTGTTTTTAGACTAGGAAGTTGGGAACTGACATTAAATAACTTCCAAATGATAGCACAATTCTTTCTTAATTCATGCAAGCAATGTACTAAATATACCAGAAAAATAGGGGGGCAATATCCAAAAGTAGAAATTTCAAAGAAAAGCACTACTCTAATGCAATACAGCACTGAACTTTGACCCATCATATGTAAAACTACCATAGGCATCAACAAATTGCATCTTTTGTTTTCTGCTTTCAATACATACTTCTAAGTGCAATCCTGACTACATTCTGTAGTGGGTAGGTTTTGTTTGGGTTCCCCTGATGAAGAAGACCTCAACTGTTTAAGAATATAACTAAGACAATTTTAGCAGAGAAAGTTTTTTTTCCTAGACCTGCAGCCATTGCAGTAACTTTGGGGTCAGGTTTGTGTGTTTGTTTTTTTGCATTTTAATTTTCTCCTCTTCAGTTAAATAATGTTCTGTGAGTAATCCTTGTGAAAGGGATGAAATTGGACAGGATGGTTCTTGCACTGTCTGTGCTTAGAAATCATTCTGTGTGCCTTTTGATTCTGACTCACTACGTAAGTCTGATCGTAAGGGAAGTAGAAGGCAACCATAAACTGGAAGTATCAGTCATTTGTCTGAAGACACACACAGCTTTGTAAGAAGGTAGGGCACCCCACTTAGTAATAGGCTCAGTGCCACACACTAAGCTTCAAGGAATGGGGAATTAAAGACACCACTGGCACTCATTAACACACCTTTTCACTGGGACAAATAATAGACAATAGCAGAAGTGTGTTGAAAAGGAAATAAAAATCTACATTTATTATTTTTAAAACTTTAGCAGGATTGCATAACAAACTCTTTATGTGTTCTGTTGTACAGGAGATGGATAAGTGTGTAATCTGCCAAAGACCATTCCATGAAGGCATCACTTAAAAAAGGCAGCTCGGAAGTAACAGCACATGTCATAAATGTGGAAATGACGTTGTGATGTCACTTAGCCAACGTTTGCATACAACCAGCCCTGTCACATGTATTACAATATAAATGTTATCAAACAAGAGAGAAGCCATACTAACAAAGATTCACAAATGGCTGGTGGTGAAGTCTGTACCTCTCATTCTCAAGAACTAATGGTTACCTTCCCTGAATGCTATCAGCTTTGTGGTAAACCATCCAAGTTTTCTATAGGAAAAAAGAGAAGATTCAACAGTTTTTCTGTTCAAACTTTGGTTTTCTGAACAGCAATGTTTAACTTCTCTAATAGATATGAAGACAGTTGAGCAGAGAAGATCAACTCTAAGATAACATCTGATGACAAGCTTCATACAACTGACACCATGTGCCATCAAACGTGCTATAAATTTCACAGCAATGGAGCAGATTCCTCAAGTGACAAAACATTTTCTGGGACCCACTTGATTCTCTCCTTAAGTCTATAAAAATGGCAAAGTGTTTGGAAGACAGTTAAGAACATATTCAGTCCCTGATCTGGTACAGAAGAGGAAGGATGAATTTTGAAGGTGCCTATAGTTCAGTATACCTGAAGAAGGTAATTAAAGAACATTTTGAGGATAAAATAATGCTGGCTAAGGTTGATGACAAGCCTAATCCAGTTACCTTACATGTCACAGTAGCACCTATATTGCAAGACTTAAAACCATAAAAAAAGCAGTGCTAGATCAGACATCCATTCTATCCACACAGTGGTCTTCCAATTGCCCATGGGATCCCATGAGCAAGACACAAGTGCATCAACACCCTCCTGCTCAAGTTCTGTACAACTGGCATACATAGAGATATGCCTCTGATACAAGAGTTAGCATCTTATAGAAGTGAATTCCACAGTTTATGTGCACTTTAAAGAAATGCTTTTTTTCTGTCCTGAACCTTTCACCAATCAGCTTCATGGGACTAGTATTAAGAAGGAGCGAAAAAAATGTCTCCTTATCCACTTTATCTACACTTAACATAATTTGGTACGTTGCTATGGCATTTCCTTTTGCGCACATGTTTTCTAAACTAGGCTGTTGTGATCTTTCCTCATAGAGAAGAGTTACTCCAACTCCTAGATTGTCTTAGTTGCTATTTCGTGCACTTTCTCTAACTCTGTTAAACCGTTTTTGGTGCAGCAACCGGAACTTTGAACAGCATTCTTAAGAGTGGATGCACCATAGATTTGTATAAGAGAAATATGATACTGGCAGTTTTATTTTCCGTTCTTTTCCTAATTATGCCTAAAGTGAATTTGCCTTTTTCTGAGCCATGGGTCAACATTGTCATCAAGCATTCAGGTGTCCACCATAACCCCAAGATGCCTTTCTTGGTCAGTCACCACTAACTCAGATTCTATCAGTTTATACTTGAAATTGGCAAGGGGGAGGGATGCCCCCCCAAGGTGTATTACTTAACACTTGCTTACATTAAACTGCACTTACCATCTTGATCCCTATTCTCCCAGTTTGGAGAGACCCTTTGGGAGCTCATAACAATCTCTGTTGGTTTTAGCCATCCCAGATAGCTAGGTGTTAACAATAAACTTGACCACTTCCTTGTCCAACTTTATTCAGTTCAAGATTATTTATGAATAATCTAATTCAAGATTGTTTATGAACAAGTTGAAAAACATTGGACGCAGTACAAATCCCGGTAGGACCCCACTGCTATACATTCCTCTATTGGAATAATTTACTATTTATCCCTACTCTCTGCTTTCTGTTCACTTATCAGTTACTGAGCCACAAGAGGACTTCTCTTATTTCATTACTGCTTAGCATGCTGAGGAGTCACATGTACAGTGTCTCTGTCCAGACATCTTTGGCGCATGTAATTACTGTTTTGATGATTAGGCCTCCTTGAATGGCTGTCATGTTTCTTACGGCCTATTCCTTACCCTTCTACATTTGGACAATCAGAAACTTTCTCATCTTCATTTTCTCCTCCTTTCACCACCATCTCCCCACATATTGACTTCTCAGCTTTTGCCTTGCTAGCTGCCCTGCACATAGAGCCGATACTATTTCAGAAAAAGCAACCTTGGTGATCTTGAATTTTAACCTTCTACCTAAACCCTAAATTTGGTGTCCAGGATCTTACAACTACATTTCTTCACACCACTGATACCAACATGAATCACAACTGCTGACTCCAGCATACCCATAGCCTTAGCAACTGGCAGGTAGTTTACCCTGTGTGGTCTACATGTCCATCACAAATTTAGCTGGGTGCCTAATGATTGAATCTCCCACTACCACCTTGGAGAAACGAGGAATGGGTCCCTTTCCTAAGACCTCCATTTTCCATGACAGCAGAGGAGCAGTCACCCAAGAATTGGGACACTCCTGTTTGGTTCCCAAAGGTCTTGTTAGCTTCTCCAGATCAGCATTCTTGGCCTTAGAACACATTGCTCCCTCAGAACCAGGCATTCATTACGCTACGCACACACCTACAACTTCTGTCTATCCAGCCAATATTTACACTGGTAGCACTTGGTGCAATACACTTGAGGACCTACTCATTTCTGCTGGCTTTCTACCTTTATAACTGAGTTGTTTTTGTTATTTTTAAATTTATATTATTGGGTTTGTTTATCTGACACTGTTTACTAAGAAACGGTGGGGAATTTATAGTTACGAATACACAATTTACACTTACTTGTTTGAGAAGGAAAGAAAGAGGATCACTGATCTCCTTGCCCTGTTGCTGAACTTGCACAGTTGCTTAACTAACATGTATGTTAACACTTTGTCACTGTAGTTCTTCACACTTAGAAGGCTCCCTTGCCCCTTTATTTATTTATTTGCCTATTTAATTCTTATACCACCTAATAGCTGAAGCTCTGAGTGGTAAACAAGTGTTGTTAAATGCAGTAAAATGCAATACAAAATAAAACTACCATAAAATTACATTAAAATTTAAAACCACATTTTAATGACTAAGCAGCTAAAATCAGTTCATACTGCTAGTCCTGCTTATCAGCTGGTAAGACCCCACATCCTCACATGCTATTTGAAGTTGATAAACGCTTCAGCAAAGAAAGCAGTCTTAACCTGGCACTGAGAAGATAGTAAAGTTGATGCCAGCTTGACCTCAGTGGAGAGATCATTCCATAATTTGGGATGAAAGAGAAAGCTTTCTTCTTTGTTATCAGCCTGAAGCCTAATCAGTCTCATCCAAGAGTGCCCAAAGCTGGTAAGGTACCACACTTTCAGGGACCTTGCCTGAAAAGGTAACATTTATTATCAGCCTAAAGTTACTTAGTTCTTCCAGGTCCTGAGATGGTTTCTCACCACCTCTTTAAGGGAGAATGGGACCCTCCTCGTAGAGTCATGAAAAAAAATCATTTTTGACTGGGTAGCCCCCCAAATGGACTGTGGGAATGCAATAAGGTAAGGAAATAGGAAACAGGTAAGGAAATAGGAAACGGTGACCGTGCTGGTATCAGATTTAATATACAGTTACAAAGAAGACCGCTGAAGAGGCCAAACACAGTTGCATTTGATTTCAATAGGAAACTTCTAAAAAATGGGGGAACTGGTGACACTGAGGAGAAGAATTAAGAAGTTTAATTCACTTCAGAGTGCTTGGAGATTATGCCAAAATACTATAATAGAGGCACAGATGATGTGTAAACCACAAGTGAGAGCACAAGGTCCAAGAACTCATCAGCATCATTAATGCAGAAATAATAAGGGAGAAGAAGTCTTGCTCAAATGAAAAGAGGAGGAACCACAAGCTTGTACAAGGGAGATGCAAGGACACAATCAGAGAAGCAAGGAAACAGTTTGAGAAGCATATTAGTAACTACATCAAGGATTCTTTAAATATAGCAGAAGAAAGCTAAAGATATAGTTGGACCATTGGACAATAATGGAATTAAAGGAGCACTCAGGGAATAAAGAAATTGCAGAGAAGCTGAATTATTTTTGTATCCATCTCAGTAGAGGATGAAGAGCAGATATGTTTCTGAACTGCCAAGATATATGTATTCTGAAAAATTGAAAAATATTTATTAACAATATTTGTACCCCATCCTTTATGAGATGTCACAAGATGGCTTACAACAGCAAATAAATCACAACAAAATACAATACTGAGCATGACAATGTTAAAGCCTAATTAAATAATGGGCAAATAAAAAGGTTTTTGCCTGGCGCCAAAAAGAATGTAACGTCAGCACCAGGCAAACCTCTCTGGGGAGTGTATTAAGGCAGATAGTGACCAAAAAGTGACATTCTCAAACTTAGTGACAACCTGAATGTCAGTAAATCAGTCCAGATGATACCCAGCCTAGAGTTCTCAACACAAACATGAAATTGCTGACCTTACCACAATATTTAAGATGTCCCTAAAATCAGCCTTTGTATCAGAAGACTGGAGAACAGCCAAGGTAACACCAATTGTTAAAAGGGGAAGCAGGGGGATCTAGGGAATTACAGGCCAGTTAGCTTAATATTTTTTCTGGACAAACTGAGAGCAGTATTAAAGACAGACTCAGAAAGCATGTAGAGGGACAAGCCCACCAAAAAAGAATCCACATGACAGTAAGTCCTGTGTTGCTAACCTATTGGACTTCTTTGAGAGTGCCAGTAGGCACATAGACAGTTGATCCAATAGACATTGTTTGCTTGGACTTCCAAATGGCTTTTGACAAAATACCTCACCAAAGGCTCCTGAGCTAACTAAGCAGTCATGGAATATAAGATATGGGGGAATCCTCTTACGGATCACTAACAGGTTAAAGAATAGAAGACAGAGAGTGGGGATTAATGGCCACTTCTCCCTATCGAGGGATGTAGCTAATGGAGTCCCACAGGGTTCTGTATTAGGACCAGTACCTTTGAACCTATTCATAAATGATCTGGAATGAGTAAGCAGTGGAGTGGCCAGGTTTGCAGTTGGCACCAAAGTAGAGTTAAAACCAAAGGGGATTGTGAGAAGCTCCAAAGGATCGCTCCAAGCTAGGAGAATGGGCATCAAAACGGCTAGTGTAGAGTAATGCATGTTGGGGCAAAAAACCCCAATTTCAAGTATATACTGGTAGATTCTGAACTAGCCGTGACTGAGCAAGAAAGGGATCATGGGGTAGATAGCTCAGTGAAAATGTCAACCCAGTGTGCAGATGCTGTGAAAAAGGCAAACTCCATAATTAGGAACAGAATAGAAAAGAGAACTGCCAAGATCTTATTCCCTTTGTACAAATCGTTAGTATGAGCATGCTTAGAATATTGTGCTCTGTTCTGGCTGTTATACCTACAAAAGGATATTGTTGAGTTGGAATAAATACAGAGAAGGACAACAGGGGTCATCCCATTAAGCTAATTGGTGGAAGGTTTGGGACAGAGAAAAGTACTTCACACAACATATAGTTAAACTATGTAATTTGCTGCCATGGGAAGTGGTGATGGCTGCCAATTTGGATGGCTTTAAAAGGGTAAAAGGGGACAGATTCACGGAGGAGGAGGAGGCTCTCTGTGGCCACTAGCCTAACTAGTACCAGGACTGTGTAATACCTTCATCGGAGAAGAAGGTAGTACAGCCATGCCTGCATATAGCAGTTGCTGAGGAACTTGGGCAGGAGGAGCTCTTGTACCCACCCTGCCTGAAGGATCCTGTGGGCAGCTGGTTTGTCTCCATGTATACTGAGTGCTGGATTAGATGGCCCTTTGGTCTGATGGCCCTTTGGTCTGACATGGATTTTATGTTCTTGTGATAACCTAATCCTGGCTGGCTGGCTGGCTGGCTGGCTGGCTTTCTCTGCAGATTCCTGTGCCAAAGAGCCCTGTGTCACGGTGATTCCATGTAAGAGCTTTTTTTACTCAGTGCAAATTGGCAGTCAACCCAGGGAAATCGCTTTTCCTTTTTTTCCCCTCTTCTGCCCCACTGTTGCTGGTGATCATTGCTCACAGCAGAAGATCCGGCTGGCCCTATCTAGGCTGGCCCTGCTGCTGCTGCAGGCAATCTGATTAGAGGACCTTGTCTGAAAAGCTAGGGAGGTAGCTGTGTCTGAACTCAAGCTCTGCACTGGCTTCCAGTGAATAGGAATGTAGGTTAATTGTCCCCCCTGGAAGTAGAGATATTCTATTCAGGGGAGAGGACAATAGTAAATGGGCTGGTGAAAGGATGACAGACAAAGGATAAGTGATTTGGGAAAGAATCTGGTGTGAAATGGCTGTGTAGCTTTTTTAAAAAACAACTGAATAATAGCCTGGACTTGGTATTACTCTGTCGTGAGCTTTCCTTCATGAGCTTCCCTATAAGCCCTAACAACTTGAGCCTACGCGGATTCCAGGCTGAAGCTAGCCCTCACTTCGTGTTTATAAGCAGACTTTTTTGACTAGGCCTGTATAAAGAGAGCCCAGAAGATACTGAACCACTGCCCACTTGCTATCAGTTGAAAGTCTGGTGAGTCTAAAGCTGTGTCTAAATCCATCTCCCAAAAACTTTGGTTGACTTGCACATGTCTGTTTTAGGATTTTCAGCAGGAGGTTGTCCAGATCAGACTTGAATAAGTTTGCTTACACCCTAAAGCCTTGGTGATAAATCTGCGCCTTTGCTATGTGCTTCTGCCTGCCCGTTGGAATTTATGTGATGAAATGCTCAAGGGCACAGAATACTTTCCCCACACAGAACACTCGTGTATCAGAGAGTAGGTTTTATCCTACCCTTCTCCTTGACATGCTAAATTTCAGTGCAGAGGGAGGTGGTGGTGTTTTTAGACAGGGATTTTCCACCTTGTGAGCGGTGGTAGAGTCCAAAATTAGCTTTACCACGTGAGAGAATTCAGCCTCATACTTGGGTCAAAACAAGACCTGGTAGGGAATAATTCTGCATCTTTGTTGACATGCCTGTTCTGTCTGGTTTTTCCAACAGAAGGTGCATGCAAGTCAAAGGCTGCTCTCTACATTGAATCCAGCTCTGTGAAAAATACTGAACTGACTTCATACATATGCAGATAGGCCTGAATTTATGATGACTAAGCAGGAAACAGCTCTTGGATGTAAGGGGGATAGCTCAGTGACGTTATCTACTCTTGCTTGCAGTGAGGTTTTCATGGAATAAATCAAATTCCAAGGTATGGTCTGAAGAAGTGACCACCTGCTGAACACAGACTCTGGGTCTGAGATTACTGCCTAGAGATGCATGATGGAAGAAGCTACTAGTATTGTAATTCCCACATTTCTCAGAATACAGACTGTTTCTGGGGCAGAAAATGGCGGTTAAAATGGTCAAGAGACTGAAGTTCCTTCCTGATGAGTAAAGACTTGGGATCAAAAAGATACTGGTAAGTAAGAACACTGAAAGGAAATGGATAAAGTGCTGAAAAAAGTGAAGGAACGGAGAGAATTTCTCTTCAATATACAATGGGATGGTTATTTTATATTATCTGGCCAGGGCGACTTCTTTTATATTGTTATTTATTTTATATTGTTAATTTTATATTGTTATTTTTGTATTTTATTGTATTTTATTTTGTGTTGTGAGCCGCCCCGAGGCTTCGGCAAGGGGCGGCATAGAAATGTTTTAATAAATAAATAAATAAATAAATAAATAACAATTATCCATTTGGATTTCATTTTTCTAAATGGATCAAATAAAAGGGAAAATGTTTGCTTATTTAAATAAGTAGCAATGAGATTAAACTAAGAACAAACGAACGAAACCATACCCTAACTAAATGTAAGACCAACTTGCCTGGGATCAAGATTTTGGGAAGCTATGGAGTTGTCTTCCATAGCCATCCACTTCCAGAGTGCCCTCCGTGTTCTGCTTATTGGATGGAGGCTTAATTTATGCCTGCAGTTCCTAATCTAACCAAGTATTCCTAGAAAGGACACCTGCTGACATGGGCACCTCTCTCTTTAACCGCAAGAAGATGATGAGCTGCACCAGCATAATAATACTTACTTTGTACTTTGCCTTTCAACCAGGAAATTTTTGCCTGGTTTCCTTTCCTTATTCGTTGATTTTCCTTTTCTTTTGTGGACATTTCCCATGAATTCTTGCTTTTCTGTATTAAAATAAAATATAATCTGTTGTCTTCAACTATGACATATGACTAATTTGAGTTATGAATCTGTTAGGAAAAGCTAGAGCCATCTTTTCAGAGCAGTGGCTTGAGGGATACCATTTTATGCTTCAATTTACAGGATATTCCTTTTAAAGACCTGCAATAAAAACGTAGTTCTGGAACTGATATTTATTTGTTCATCTGGTTAAACAAGAAGACAAAATCTTAAAAGCAAGTAATTGTTAAATTATGCCAGTGGCTGATCTATAAATTCCAACATGTCTGAAGCATATTAGAGGCTGTACTTCATGGAACTTCTTTTATTCAGCTAACCAGAGCTAGCCCCAGTGAAAGTTATCTGAAAAGCAAGGGTGGCTACATTAACAGTTCACAAGAATATTTTTATTGAAAATGCTACAAATCACACAGCATTTTAACAGCAGTCATGTTCTGATTAAGAACATTTAAAGGGTTCTTTAAAATATCGAGACAGTTAATTCCATTTTTTAAAAGGGAATTCAAAGAATTGAGCGCCCACCAATCCACAAAGTCTGCCTCTGCTGTGCCAGTGTCCACATCTCTTTTCTGGAGTTTGTGACCTCAGTTGTGACATACCATATGTGTCATACAGAAGACTAAAAGCACCATGTTCTCCCAGAATGTGTAGATGACATAACCCTTGAACATTTGTAATCTGCTGTGTTGTACCCACAATTGGAAAGCACTAGTTCCATATAATCCTATGGCTATGAGGGCACTTCTAGTCAATGTAAGTCTGGATCTGTAAAGTCATTAATGAACTTTAAAGCTTAAGATACCTTATTGTATATGAGTATGTTAATAAATAACAAGGTTTCTTAAATATAATTCTTTTCAGAATTCCAACAACCATCCACAGTATCGGAGTAGACGAGAATTGCTCAATTTTATCAGTGAGCATCTGCACCCAAGGCTTTGGCTAAGACTGATAATCTTGGAGCAATGGTGACCATCCCACCCATTTATGACCAATTATGCACCTCCTCTTGTTTCAGTCTTTCAATTTGCCAGTTGGCTTCTGTGGATACAACACTGTATGTGGCATATTATAGAATTTGATTATGGAAGTAGGTTGTATGTCATTATCCTAGTTAGGTGGAAGAAGATGAAGTGAACATGACATTGAAACTACTGGGAAAATCATGATCACCCATACTGAACAAGAAGCTTGAGAGAGATACACAGTGCCCAAAATGAGACTCAGTACCCATTTGCTCTTTATTAGAAAACAGCCTGGTAAAAGTGCCCCTCTAAAGCCAAAAATAATAGTCAGAAGCTTGCCTTTATTGCAAAAGTGCCTCTGAGAACTAGGCTGCATTTTACATAGAACCATGTGAATGAAAAATATGGCCTGGCATTATGTTTTGCTGAAAAGAATTATGATGAGAAGGAAGTTGCAGTGTGAAGCAACAGGGGAAAGGGATAATTAACCCATTCCCCACTTTTCTGCTGCTGCTTTCTCTTCCCCCTCACCCTCAAAATAGGGCTCAGATTGCATGTTTGAAAGGATAAAGTTGCATCTAGAAACTTAGGAGAAATGAATGAGAAGGGAGAGTTAAGCACAAAACCAGCAGCAGGGAAAGTTTCTACTCTACTATTTTGCCTCTGTGTTCTCCCCAAAGCAGGATGGGGGAGATCCTGGGGACTTAGGGGCACAGATTAGAGCCCCCCCACCCAAGAAATTGAGGAACTCCTCAGGGCACTGGATGTTATAAAGACTCCAGGTCCTGACGGGTTACACCCAAGAGTACCTCAGGAGTTGGCGGGGGTTTCCTCAAGCCCACTGGCCTCCATTTTTGAGGTCTTGTGGAAAACAGGTGATGTTCCAGAGGACTGGAGGGTGGCGTCAGTGGTCCCAGTTTTCAAAAAGGGTAGCAGAAGGGACATGGGGAATTACAAACCAGTTAGCCTTACGTCCATTGTAGGAAAGACAATGGAAAGGCTCATAAGAGCGAGAGACCTAGTAACCCTAGATAGGGAAGGGAGGCTGGCAGCCACACAACATGGCTTCCGCAAAAAACAGGTCCTGCCGGATGAACCTTGTGAAATTCTATGACAAGGTTTCAAGGTGGCTAGATGGAGGGGACACAGTGGATGTGCTTTACCTGGATTTCAGCAAGGCCTTTGAGAAAGTGCCACATGATATCCTGGTTGAGAAACTGAGGAGTTTTGGGATACACCAAAGCACTGTCTGATGGATTAGGGCATGGTTGACTGACCGAAAGCAGAGGGTAACCATTAGTGGGGAATCATCGGGATGGCGGCCAGTGACAAGCGGGGTCCCCCAGGGCTCTGTCCTGGGGCCAATCCTGTTTAATCTTTTCATTAACGACATGGAAGAAGGGGTGAAGAGTCTGCTGATCAAATTCGCAGACCCTAAAACTGGAGCAGTGGCCACAACTGAGGAGCAGGTAATCCAGATCCAAAAGGATCTGGACAGACTATGGAAGTGGGCAGGAGACAACAGGATGGCGTTCAATGTGGATAAGTGCAAGGTCTTGCACTTGGGGCATAGGAATAGCTGTCATAAGTACAGGTTAGGTGACAAGTGGCTGGAGAGCAGCACTTGTGAAAGGGACCTCGGGGTATTGATCGACTGCAAGCTAAAGATGAGTCAGCAGTGTGACACAGCGATCAAGATGGCAAAAGCCACCCTTGGTGGCATGGCCAGAAGTGTGGCTACTAGATTGAGAGGTTATTACTACCCCTGTATATGACTCTGGTGCACCCATAACTGGAGTATTGCATTCAGTTCTGGGACCCTTATTACAGGAAGGAGATAGCCAGGTTAGAGTCAGTGCAGCGCAGCGCCACAAGGATGGTGACCGGATTGCAGGGAAAGCTGTATGAGGCAGGACTGAGGGAACTGGGTCTTTTCAGCCTGAGGAGACTCCAAGGGGATCTGTTGGCAACATATAGGTATGTGAGGAGAGGTCATGTGGAGGTGGGTAGAGACCTCTTCTCCCCTGCAGAGGAGGGAAGGGTGTGCTCCAACGGAGCCAAGCTCAAGGAACCAAGGTTCAAAATTTGGATGCCAGGAAGTACTTCCTGACAGGACCCCGAGGGTATGGAATGGGCTTCCACGGGAGGTGGTTGAGGCCCCATCGATGAGGGTGTTCAAGGATAGGCTAGACATGCACATGATGAGCATGTCATGAGCGGAGCCAGCTAGAGCTCGGTTCTGACTAGATGGCCCGGGAGACCCCTTCTGACTCACTCTGTTTCTATGTTCTATGTTTCTAAAACACCTTTCAATGTTAGTTTTCAGCAAAGAAAAAAGTTTCTTGGGATTGCATGTTGTGTGGAGTTTGGCCCTGTCTGGTTGTTAGTCTTTTTCCCTGAAGCTTCTTCTTTGTTCATCCATTTTTGCTCCTCTGTTGCCTCACTTTCATGTTGGCTTTTGTTATTTAGTCACAACCTCATGGACGACATTCCTCTAGGCTTACCCAACACTTACTCTCTGCTCATGTTGCTTCCCCTTCTTGTTCTCCCCAGCTCTGCAGCACATCCATCAGAATCTTTTGCGTCTGCCCAACTGTCATCCACAACTGCTTTAGAATACTCTTGAGTCAAGAAATCCTGCCTTTCACCCCAGCCAGATAATCATCTCCCTGAAGCTTCCGTTAGAATTTGGAAAATCAATGCAGGGAAAAAGTTTCCTCTTTGGTTTTCATATTTTCCCATTTCTTTGTTCACTGAATTGAACTGAAATTCAGTAACTCTGCTGAGCTATCATTTTCTCTCGAGTTGGAACCAAACATGAAGTACAAGTTTGCCCTGTTCACTGAACCTGAACCCAGATTTTGACCTGCCATCTAAATGCCTGAAAACATGTTTGGAAAAATCTCATAAATCAAACTATCCATTGTTTACCTCTTTTTAAAAAAGTGGTGCCAAACTGTGGCATTTTTTCCATCCTGAATTAAGCCTTGCATCTTTAAAAAAGAAACACTTTAACAATTTTATTCTGGCATTTAAAAAAAAAAGTATTTTCCTAAAACCAGGGAAGGCACTGGGGTCCTACCAGTTCTCCTACAACCCACCAATTCTGTTGTGTGAGTGACCCCCCCCCCACGATTTGTGCAATATCAAGTTGCACAAAAAAAGCAGACATTGTTTCCAGAAGGAATCAGGTCACTGGAGGTCACATGGGGGCTCATTTGGGGGCTCATTCATTTGGAGGCTTCCTTTGGGAAGTGTTAAGCTTTCCTTCTGTAAACTGTGTGTCTCATTTGCATGACAGAGATCCACCATTTGCAGAAGAAAATTGGCAGGGAGGAAGGAAGACAATGAATGCATAATGTCTCACTGGATTTTGCCTACGATTTACTGTGAAAGTTGGACCATAAGGAAGGCTGAGCGCCAAAGAATTGAGGCCTTTGCATTGTGGTGCTGCAGGAAACTCCTGCACAAGGCCATCAAACCGGTCAGTCCTAGAGGAGATCAACCCTGACTGCTCTTTAAAAGGCCAGATCCTGAAGATGAAACTCAAATACTTTGGCCGCCTAATGGGAAGGAAGGAGTCCCTGGAGAAGAGCCTGATGCTGGGAACAATAGATGGCAAAAGAAGAAGGGGACGGCAGAGAATGAGGTGGCTGGACGGAGTCACTGAAGCAGTTGGTGTGAGCTTGAGTGAACTCCGGGTGATGGTGGAGGACAGGAAGGCCTGGAGGAATGTTGTCCGTGGGGTTGCGATGGGTCGGACACTACTTCACAACTAACAACAACAGAACAATCCACATTCAAGAATTATTTCCTTAATCCCGTAACCTGGTACTCTCCAGATGTGTTGCAGTATAACACTGTAGAATGCTGAGAATTGTAGTCTGGAGGTGAAAAGATGCAAGGTTGAAAGAACATAGGAACAGCCATATATTAAGTCAGATCACTGGACCATTTAGCCGAGTATGTCAACTCTGTCCTGCTGTTGGAGATGTAATCTAGGAACATGTGCCTGCCAAATGCCTACTGTTGAGCAACGCTCCGTTTTCCAGCATAGGTTTGTTGTTTTTCCTCCTCTCAGAATGTGCATTGCATGGGGTGAGGAACACCAAGAAAGATACAGTTTTGCATGCCTTACCAAAAACACAGTCAAGATCCAAATTTTCAAAGTGCATTCTGATCACAGGAGGATTGCTAAGAAAATGGTATTGCATGTAAGTGGCTGAAGTAGAGAAACCAGAGGGAAAATGGAGGTGAATATGGGAACTGAGTAGTGAGCTACTTAAAGATCTGGCTAGTAGGAAGGAAAAAGAACAAAATCCATGATCCAAGCAGGTATCCCCATGTCTGTGTGCCTGCTAGAATTCAGCAGAAGCAGCCAGAATTGTGAGGGTTGTTGAATTTGCTTTCCTGAGAAAGTCGGTTTTCATTGAGCGTAGGGTGTGTGAGCAACATTAACATCTCAGAAGTCACAGAGGGAGACAGAGTAAGATTTTCCGTCATTAACTTGGAGTTTCAAATACTTTGTACGGCTCCTTGTTTCTCTCCATTATTAACAAATCTCAAATAATGATGGAAATTATTTAAATATTTCCATTTTAATTTGTGTGCAGAGGTCACTGAAGTCCCACTTTTCGTGGCACTAGTGCCAGATGACCTTGGTGCAGAATTGCAACTCTTTTTTGCTCAGTCTCAGAGTGTGCACTGCCATGCGTATTCCTAATAAGGATGCTCAGACAAGGTAGTGAGCAATTTGTAAACCAAAACATCTGGAGATCACAGCTCCCATCATCCCTCACCATTGGCTATGCTGGCTGGGGGCGATGGAGGTAGTAGTCCAAATCATCTGGAGATGCTCAAGGTGCCCACACTAGTCTACGATACAGGTCCAGAATAACTCCTAAGACATTGTGATTTCACAATTATGGATTGCCTGAACTTGGTTGCATTAGGCAAATAATTTATGAACGTGATTCAAAAACAATCTGAGTTATTTATCAAAATAATGCTTTAGGCTGTAATATTAAGCACACTTAAAAAAAAAAAAAGTAAATCCCATTCAACAGTTCCATTCTCCTAAATTACCAGGAGACCCTTATCAGACCCAGGGTTCACGGTTCGTGTCAGCCTGCAACATGAACCCCATTTTATTTTTTTCACTGCATTATTTTTCACCTTTTAATTTTTACAGGTCTCATTCCCTTGCTTTTTAAAATCTTTCTCTTTGGTCTTTTTTTCCTAAGAACTTATGGTGATGTTGAACCAATTTTGTTCAAATATACCAACTCTGAGCCACAATACCACTAAATCCGAATACGCTAAATGGAATCAGAACTTCTGCCATGCGAGGCTAGTCCCAAAGAGTTGACTATTCCCCATTCCCTCTGCTTGCCTACCTGCCTGCCCATTTCTTTATTTCAGACACACACACCCTTCCTCTTTCATCCATTTTTATCTGTTTCCTTCTTAAATAAGAACCTGTTGAAACATAACCACTTTTGTAGAAGAAGTGGCAACATCTGGATACTGAACTCTGCTCAGTGTCACTGAGGGTCACTAAACAGGCACATAGATGAGAATTTTGGCTTTTCAAAATTAATGCATGTCCTGCTCTTCTCTGCTATTGCTCTCATCCTCCTTGTAGGAAAGACAGTGCATGCCATGTGGAGTTGGTATGGTAGTGATTTGGGATAGGGCTGCTGAAAATGTGAAATTCACATTTTAAACAAATGTGAATTTGTCCAGCAAACAAAGCTTTTAATCTGGACAAATTCAACAAAAAATCAATTTTTTGGATTGTCAAGTTGGATGGGATAAAGCAAATACTCATTGACTACTTCAAAGTTATTCCACTCTATGTTTTTCTTCCTTCCTTTCTAAAGAAAAATGCACTATTATCACTGTGTTATATAACCACTACCTAGAATTCAAGATATTTTATACTTTCAGCAAAGCCAAACTGAATAAACAAATTCTAATTCCTTGCCAACTTGCCTGCACTTTAGTCTTTTTAATATTTGAGTAGGTGTCATCTTATGGAAAAAGCAGTTCAGTGATTAAGCAAGTCTGATATTTAATCTTTGGATCAGGCTGGATGGCCTTTTGGAGAAGAAATCTTCACCTCCCTGTTTGTGCATGTTCTTTGATCACAGGTGTGACCAAATTGTCGGAAACCTTTATTGGTTTGTGTCCTCATGAAATCATTTTCATTTTGTAGCCTTCACTTGCAAAACGCATTCACTGCAGTTGCTTCTGGAAAGGTACTCCATTTCTGTGTGTGCCTAGTTTAGCTGACTGTAAGCAGTTATTTTTAGAGCGTGTGAGAAGTAAGGAGCATTTGTTCATTATTTCAAAGCTGAGTGATTGACTTCCATACTTCATGGTGTAAATTCTGGCTTCATAATGGAAATAATGCTGTTTGCTCTGATTCTCTAAAATCAGAGGATCCCACCACCATATGACCTCACACAGAAAAATGGCTGCATCATTTGGTGTGCAGTCATATGGATAGACTTCAGCCGATGCCCTGCTAGCAAAAGCCAGCCAGGTAGAGGAAAGACACAGGCCTTTATACCAGCTTTTCCTCTAATATTGTTATCTTAGGCTAGATGGGCCCCTGAGTCTGGGTGGGGACAGACAGGAAGGCCCAGTGAATCATCATGTCCTCCTGCCACTGCCCTACCCCTTTTTCTCCCTTTTGGATCCTTTTCCAGGGTTGCCATTGGGAACTTAGAGGAAGAACCATTGCGGAACTTTCTGCAATGGCAGTGGGAGAAATCCCTGCTCAGACTTTCCCCTCCTGAGGTCACGGCTGTGTAGACGACCTTGTCAGGGTTTCTACATGGCCAGTGGCCTCTGAGGCACCATCCCAAGCACCATAAGATTGCTCCACTCAGCCGTGTTTTGAAAAATTAAGACTCCAATGCTTCTAGTAAAAATAGTTGTATGCAATAATCAAACTATTTGCTGAGGTTGTCTTATAGTGGCATCGCTTGATTGGAAGTCATTGCTTGTTTAAAATTTGTTCTTGAAAAATCTGTGATAATAGCAGATGTTCATACTTTTAAATTACAACCCTGTGATGTAGATTAACATATGGACAACAAAAGTGGGTACTGAGAACACTTACCGTTGCGAAGAGATTTATACTTCAAACTTAGAAGGATAAACACCCACCACATATCCTTCAGCAGACTGTGTATCTTACTGCTCTTGCTACATTTGAACATTTCTCCTGCAAAATCAATCTCATCTCTCTCAAGAGAGGTGAGGGGGTGGCAAATAGGTGAAGGGCCTTTTCTACTGCTGCTCCCCATCTCTAGGGAAATTTACCTGGCACCATCTTTATTTTCTTTTTGGCACCAGGTGAAGACTTTTTTTTTTAATAATAATAATAGCCCTGTGAATGCTGGTGGCCTTTTTATATTATTGTTATATTGTTTTAATATTTTAATTGTTTTAATAGGTTTTAATATTTTGTTATTTATACATACATTTAATATGTTGTTTTAATAAGTTTAATATGTTGTTGTAAGCTGCCTAGGAAGGCCTTTTGGCAGTAACAGGAAGCATATAAATATGTGCATAAATAACTAAATAAATATATATGGATGCTTATTGGATAAATGGACTTTTTATATTAACATACACATCAGAACCCATTATCTCCTTTGTCTTTTTATATTAAGAGTAGCATAAATGATTATTATGCTTTGATATTTATTATATGTTCTCTCACCTTTTTTCCCTCGCTCTTTTTTGTATTTGCAAATAATTGTTGAACTGTTTGCTGAACAAGAGTTGGACATCTACTCCATGAATTCCAAGTACTTCACTAAGAATATAGGCATCTAGCTGTGAGGACTGCAACCACAATTCAAGTATGTGATTGTTCCAACAGGGTGCTGCTATTTATTTGCTTTTGGTGTCCACTGCATTACTCTTGAAATACCTTTTGAGAACAGGTATATCCAGAAATATGAAACTGAATGTTGAAATAGGATTTTGGGTGAAGTTGTGTTCTTTTTTGTGGTCTTTGTGCATCACACATATGAGGGCTCTGAACCTTTGTGGGGCCTGTTGTTGGGAAGTTTCTACAGGTAAGCAGGTGTGGATTATTTCATGGAAGTATTTTGAATATTTGCAAAATACATGAAAAATATTAGCAGGGCTGCATGTTTTATGCATTATTCAGTATATTTCAACAAAAGTTTGTTTAACTACTGTCAAATCTTGCAGAGGATTGTAGTCTTGTCTCTGTTTCCTTATTTCCTAGAAAATTGGGAGATGAAATGTATAGGACTGCATTGTGGAAGCTGAGACAGAATATAGAGAAGGGAACAGGTCAGATAATTTAGGCTTGGCAGTAGTCCTTAGCCTACGACCCATACCCCCAACACTTGGCAGCATTTGCTGCTCACTGATATCTTAGACAAGGCATCAGTTTCTGTCCCCCACCGAGATTGGCTTTGGATATAGGGCCACGGTATAAATGAGAAGCGGGGTTAAGATTGTCCAGCATTTCTCTTTCTAGTCCAGTGATTAGTTCAAATTAAGTGATCTAGTAATCAAACCTTTCCTGTAATACTACTCCACATAATTTTGTGCTGCCAGCTTCAGATACTGAACAGGAGCAACTCTTCGCTGTTTGAAACTGAAGGCCATTTTCCATAGAACGCGCTTTGGATGGAAGGAGATTATCTTAGGTGCAGCTAATCAGGAACTCTGCTGGAAGCCAATGTGTTGCAGAAGATATTGACTTGGTCTTGAACTTGGGTGCAGTAGGCAGTTTGTTGTGTGTCCTTAGACCTGGTCATGGGCCTTCGTTCTGTACATATGTAAAATGATTCTCAGTTTGTCACACCATTTCATGAAAGAGGCCAGTTTTTCCGCATGTCTGAATGGGATGAGGCAGAGTTTGCAAGATGGTTGCCTTGTTCAGGCCATCCACTGATCCACTGGCTAACCCCAGTTCTAAGCCAGCAACCAAGAGCAGGGTGGGAGGAGCAGTCCTACTGATCCTGCTTGATCCTTCAGGGGCTTTTGATACAATTGGCCATGGCATTCTTTTCGATCCTCCCTGTGAGCTGGTCATTGGAGATGTTGCATTTCATTGGCCCTGTTCCTACTTGCAGGGGCCACCCCCATAAAACAGTATCAGGGAGTAGCACCTCAACTCCTGTCAGTTGCAGGGTGAATCGGTACCATCTTGTCTCCTGTGCTATTTAAGGTCCATATGAGGCTGCTGCAAGCCGCAATTCGGAGTTTGGAGGCAAGGTGTCAGCAGTATGCCGATGACGCCTGGTTCTGTTTCTCTGCAACATCCAACTCGGAAGAGGCCATGCATGTTCTGAACTAGTATCTGGATGGATGACAGTCAACAAACTGAAGCTCCTTCCGGCACCAGGTAAAGACCTTTTTATTTAACCATCATTTTAACAAGTAAGAGTTTTAGATATTTTAAGATTTTCTGTCTCTATTTGTTTCATAGTCACACTTTCTATTTAAGTTTCCTTTTTTTTCCCTTAGTTCATATGCTCAATTTTAAATGTTTTAATAATTGTAGTTTTAACACTACATTTTAGAATTTTATATTATGCAAGCCGTCCTGAGCGCTTCCGCGGAAGGACAGGATATAAATTCTTGTAATAAACAAATAAATAGAGCATGGGACTGGGACTCAGATGATCTGGGTTCTATTCCCGGCTCAGCCATGGAGCCAACTGGGTGACTTTGGGCCAGTCACAGACTCTCAGCCCAACCTACCTCACAGGGTTGTTGTGGGGATAAGATGGAGGAAGAGAATGATGTAAGCTGCCTTGAGCCCTTTGTAGGAAAAAGGCAGGATATAAATTGAAAAAAATAAATAAAAATAATAATAAATAAACTGAATTCTGACAAGGTGGAAACTCTACCGGTAGGTGTGTCGCAGTACAGGAATTGGGGACTTTGCTTGTCCTTGTTCCAGTTGCTCTTCCTGAGAAAGAACAGGTATGCCGTTTGGGTGCAGTACTGGATTCATCGTTGCCACTAGAGGCTCATATGCCGCAAGGAGTGCTGATTACCTTCCAAGGATGGAATGTCAAGTATGCCCTTTCCAGGACAGGGATAACTTGATGACTGTGGTCTGTGTGTAGGTAACCTCATGTTCAGATGACTGTAATGTACTTTATTCGAGGCTCCCCCTTCCGCTTGATCAAGAAGCCGCAGGCAGTGCAGAATGCGGCAACTGCAACACTGAACGGTGTTACAGCAACTGCCTTAATCCCCTACCGAGTGAAGTGCGAGCTATTGCTGCCAGCAATGGCATATACAGCCCCGAACAGTTTGGGGCCAAGCTATCGAGCAGGTTGCCTTCCTTAATTCAGAAAAGAGGACCATTAAGGTCATTGAAAGAAATCTAGCTGGTTTTACCACAACCTGCAGACAGCTCTTCCACTACAACTAGGAAATGGATCTTTTATAGTCTTGTTCATTTTCTAAATAAATGTTTTAGCCTTACATATTTTAGTTGTAGTTTAATATATATGACAATGTTTTATAATGTTTTAATTTTTTTGTAAACCACATAGAGATATTTTTAAATATGGACAATGTTGTGTAAATCTATTAAATAACTAACTGATTTAATATAAATAGGTTATGACTAGCTAAAGTAAGGTCTAGACTGAATTATATGGGGTTGGACCATGAATAACTTAAGCCCCATTTATTTCAATGAAGCTGCTCTCAGTCTAGATCAGCCCAGAGTATAGATGTCTGTGAGTACTTAGGATTCATAAAAACAAGTTAAATATTTCCATATATAAGTTTTATAAAGTAACTTTTCCTGTGGATCAAGTCTCATTATAACAAATACTTTAATAAGGGTGATGCAGCAAAAGCTGTCCCCAACCTTTTGGAAGTCCTTATTATTTAAAATCCCTTGGCAAAGACTCCACTGCAAGCTGAGTAGTCATAAAATAAGGGAAGGCTCTTTGATTGGTAACAGGTTTTTTTTTTAAGGCAAAAAAGGCAAAATATAAAGTGAACACCTCTCATTATGATGGGACATAAATGGTAACACATATTCAGGGTCTGTTGGGACCAAGCTTACTTGATTTATATTTTTAATTTATTATTGTATTATATGATACATAATGCTTCTAAATGGTAAATTTCCAAGCAGTATGTAAAAATAATCCCCATAAGGCAATTGCAAATTGATTCACTTTGCAATCAAATAGCCAATTAGGTACATGTAAGATAATTATATATTATGCTGATCAGCTCTATGACTAACAAGAAAGGGGGTTGGGGGGGTCAAAATAGAAGGCATGTTGAGGGCTATGAAAGTGAAAAATTAGCCAAGTCACTGAAAATAAGCTATCAGTGTCATTCTGAATATCTTGTACTCCCCATTTAAAATACTGTATAACATTCTGTTTGCCTCTTGGCAAAAAAAAGAAGATATGCTAGAGCCAGAGAAGATGCAGTGATAAGGAATGAGAACATTTTTCCTGCAAGTTCTGGTCTTTCTGGTGTGGGCAAAATAACTTTCATTGCTTTTCTGTGTATCAGCACAGTAGTAAGACTCATTGAACTCCATGGGCCTTGCTCATAGGTCAGTTGGTAACTGCCTGCCCCTTAAGGGGGATGGAGCAGACATCTGTGAAAGGACTCTAGACTAATTCATGGCACCTGTATCTGACAGTGGTGAGCCTTCTAGTCTAGAGAACTAGCAATCATCTGATCAGTAAATACTAGGAGAAGAGAAGGCAATAGATAGACCACTCCCAATATGAGCTCTACTTGTGAACTTTTCAAAGGCATCTGTTTGGCCACCAGTACAGAGTGCTAGATGGACTGCTTAGGCATTCCTTGGCAAAAATAGCAGCACTGGAAATATTTATTCCAGCAGTCCAGCCAAAGTGTCATGCAGCATTGTCCTATAATGGACAACTATCATCTAACTTTACTGTGTTGATACGTTGTAATTCAAGGGTTCCAGAATGGGCCATCAAATTTTCTCCCAGCATTGAGCCCTATCATACACAGAGACAGAAAAACTCAGTAATGAGATGCAGATTTGGCTTTCAGATGAACAGCTTTAGCATTTGTGTGCTAGACAAGAAGATGCAAGAACAAGTTGTACATATCTCAGGAGTTTACATTAGTGTAGCAACTGTGTCCACACCGCTTCTCAGTCTTAGGTTGGGAAGGGATGTATCCAATCTCTACTTTGCAGCTCGCAGCCATTGTTTTGAAATAGGATATTTTTCAAGGCTTGTCAATGCTTTTAGCACACGAAGTAAAACACAATTAAACCTGCATTGACCTGACCTGACCTGGGTGGAGGGTTTCCATGGTTTTGTCAAGTTTCAACAAAATGAAACATAACCCCTCTTTCCTGATTGGGTATCTCTGCAGGCAACTTACAAACAGCAACTGAGCAAACCTTTAAAGTTCTCCTTGTTCAGCCTCTTGTAACGCAGACATCACGAAAGCAACTGGGAAAAATATTTCAGATTTCGAAAGCAAGCTATGAGCAGAGCTCGAGGCATGGCACAGTCTGTATACAATGAATTTCATCATTTCTGTAAATGGCAGAGAGGAACAATTTTCCCTATTAAGAAACTGACCTGGAGATCCACCTCTGGTACAACCATTTCATAAAAAGATAATATAGAAAAATGGGATCACTTTATTGCATGACTCGCACAACACTGTTTACCTGAGTGTACAAACAGTGGGAAGCAGCTCTCCAGTGTAAAGACACGCAGTAAAACAGGCTTGAGTTCTCATTATAAATTGAGTTTTGAATATTTGCTGGACCAAGATCATTTGTGGTCCAAAGCAGAGTCCAAATACTACCCACCTCACCCAAGCTAGGGCCCACACTTTAAATCACTTGGCTGCATCATCTGGGCATGGATTTACTTAAGGTATTTATAGGACATTCAGTAACAAATGTTTTCCTGGCAGATCACGTGGACTACTGGTTCCCTTTTATTCAGCACCGTTTAGCCTTCATCTAGAGTACTATGTCCAGTTCTGGCTACCACCATTTAAGAAATATGTGGGCAAGTTGGAAAGGATTCAGAGGAGGGCAACAAGGATGATCCAGGGACTGGAAGTAAAACCCTGTGAGGAAAGATTGAAAGAACTGTGTCAGGAAAACATCCCTGACTGTTAGAGCAATGTGACAGTGAAAACAATGACCTAGGGAGATTGGGCTTTCCCATACTAGACACATTTTAAGACGCAGCTGGACAGTCATCTAAGAAGGATGGTTAACTGCACTGAGCAGGGGGCTGGACCCGATGGCCCTCTGACCCCTTCCAACTCGACTCTGATTCTATATGATTTTATGATTATAGTAAATCATAAAATTAAAACCATAAAATCCAAATACAGCATAAAAGCAGCAGGTATCCATAATTTCAAAGGGGATTCATGCCTTCCTCCATCCCTCCTGCCAAGTGCCACAGGAAGCCAGTCACTGTTCTGCTGCATGGCGCACTCGGCCCTCCAGGGAGCCACCCAAGCAGAGCAAGAGTGCGCAGAAAGTGGATCTCCAGATCTTTTGGACTTCAGATCCCAGCTTTCCTGATCATTGGTCATGCTTGCATGGGAAGTCCCAAAATTTAAGGGACTTCTGCCCATCTCTGACCTACTACATGGCATGGGAATCTGGTGCCTTCTGGATGTTGACATCTGCAATCCCCATCAGTCAAACAGTATGAGATGATAGGAGCTGTAATCTAAAGCTTCTGGAGGGCACCAGGTGGCTTAGCTTGACCGCCTTAGGTCTAGCCCTTTTCTTGTAGGAGCATATCAAATGGCTCAGATCAGACTCAATGTCAGTCTGTTCATACTGGGGCTATTTCTGAATGAACTGGAAATCTCTCTCCAAAACATCCTTCTCCAAGGCAATGCACTCCCAGTTGAAAACTATGGCTCTAATCAGCCATCATAGCCAAGAATCAGGAATCCTGGGAGTTGTAGTCCAAAATACATGGAAAATCACTTGTATCCATTTCTACACAGGAATAGCAGAATTCATTGAAAGCAGATTCTGCTCTGTACCAATAAGATACCCTTTTTGATGTGGCAGGGGGAAACTTTGGGAAGACAATGTATGCGGAATTGATCTGAAAAGCCTAGGTGTAAATAAATATTTAGCACAGATACTGGTAGACTAAGAATGTGCTTCAGAACAACAGAATGAAGGGCAAATCCTGCAAATTTATTAGATTTATATACTGTCTTTTTTCTTTTGAAAGCAGCGTACATCATTCTCCTCCTCCTGCTTTCAGTTTTTTCCCCATAGCAACAACCCTGTGAGATAAGTTGGGCTGAGGGTCTGTGACTGGCCCAAAATCGCCCCATTGGCTCCATGCTTGAGCAGGAACTAGAACCCAGAGCTCCTGAATCCCAGTCCCACGTTCTTAACCACTGCATCACACTGGCTCTCCAGGAAAAGTTTGCCTTTGTTTTAAAACTCAGGTCATGAACTCTTGTCTCCTTCCAACAATGCCTGGGTTTAGATTTGTTTTATTCGGAGTATCCAGGTCATATGATGTTGTCATGAAAGCACAGAGAGCTTTAGAACAAGAGACCGAATTTCCAGCACTCTCTTTCTCTTGCATTACACAAAGTGTACAGTTAACAGGTTTTCGGCATGCTTTAGTTTCGAAGCACAGTGAGGGTGCTGGAAAATAGGGACTTCCAGGATTTGAAGGCCAAATAAACTCAGAAAAAATACACCATTCAGAAAATGTCTATGCACCTTTTCTCATTAAAAAGAAAAAAAAGGCAGCTTACAAGATAAAATCTTGATCAAATATAATAAAACCAATGAATAAAATGTTAAACTTCTGATAAACAAAGAAATAACATTGCATAAATCAAAGATAGTTGGCACAACCAAGGCCACCATTTTTCTTGCTGGGAAGGCCAGACACACATCAAATATGTGTACAGCGAATGCAAGGCCTGTCCTTCAGAACATGTAGGCCCAGGTGGCCTACAGAGTGGTTTTGCAGGGCACAATCCCATGCATCCTTAGACTGAAAGAGGACCTGCAACTCCCAGCATTCCCCACCAGAACAGCTAGCTGGGGAATGCTGGGAGCTATAGAACTTTCTCCATATAAGCATGCATAGGTTTGCATCCTGAGTTATCACTATATTCCTCAGCCATGATTAGCCATTACTTGAGTTCTACAGCCCTGCATTCATTGGATATAAAGATGTGAGACAGCCTTATTCTGAATCAGAAAACGTAGTCTGAGACTGTCTACTCCGAACTATTCCAGACTGATATCCTCCACAGCCCTTCTCTCCAAGACACCAGGGATTGTACATGGTAGAAAAGAGGGTGTTTTCTACCAGAGAGTTATGGCTGTGTGTCTCAATTTGGTGCCCCTCCAGATATGTTGGACTACTATTCCCATCACCCCCAGCCAATGTTGATCACGCTCTGGTACATTCTGTCTCTATCTCCTGATGCTTTCAGCTTACTCCCAAATAAATGTATTCCAAAATTATTTATTCCTGTGTTTTTGACCTTCCCAGTAACAGCATTGTTATATTGTCTGTACATTTATAGACTACAACTATCAGCTCTTGGGTGTAAGGGCACCAAACCCTTCTGTGAGCGAGGAATAAAGAGTAATTAGGTTGTCCTCCCCTCTAGATTGCTGGCTTTCCTCCCCTTGGAATGATTATCAACTGCCAAGAGTATAGGACTAGGACCCTTTTCGTGGGGCTGCCTCTTCCAGCTGAACTTGGCTGCCAGCTGAAGTCCAGGCTGAATTCAAAGTGTGTGCACTAACATTTAAAGCCCTATATGGCTTGGGGCCCAGTTATCTGAACAAATGCTTCATCCCTTATACACCTACCTGGACCATGAGTTCATCTTCTGGGGTCCTTCTCCGGGAGCTTCTTCCAGGGAAGTAAAGGAGGTGACTAGGAGAAAGGCCTTGTCAGTTGTGGCAACCCATCTTCAGAATAAACTTCTCAGAGAAGTTTGCCTGAGAAGTTTGACTCATTTTTTCTTTTGATGCCAGGTGAAAACCCTTTTTATGTTCCAAGCATTTTAATAGTTAAAGTTGTAGTTTTAGTAGGGTTTTGTTAGATGCTGCTCTTGTACTTGTGTACCAATTTGATTAGTTAACTTGGCGTTGTTTTTTACTATAGTTGCTTATTGGTCATTGTTGCTGTTTTTATTGTGATACTGTTATTTTTGTCTGTGTTTATATATTTGTAAACCACCCGGAGAACATTTCTGGCTGGAGGCTGTATATAAATGAAATGAATAAATATTAGGGACGAATAACTAAAGGCCTTTTCCCATCTGCCTAATCCAAATTAGACAGGGCCAATCACATGATTAAGTTCAAAGCTTGTGTGACCAGATTTTTCAGTGATGGTGCACTGGCTGTAATGTAATCAGAATGAACCAAATGCAGAACATTCGCTTCATCTCCTAGAATGGAGCTAGTTTTTCATGTCTTCAGTTGTACCTGTCTGTTGTGGATGTTTATTATTTCTGTTGGAAGAGAAACTAATTTAAAAAATCAAAAGGACAAGTGCAACTGAACACAGCAAACAAGTGAAGTTTGTGCAACAGTTTGAATAAACTGTGCCTTGTATTTGATGCTGTTTAATTAGTTTTTGTGATTTCTTGTTGCACATTTAGATCTAGCAGAGAAACTTGGGCAGGGCCGTATATGTAACTTTCTTACTATGGACACAAAAATCTTTTAGCATACACTTGTTGAGGGCTTTTAGGAGTTAAATTGCTGGGAGGATACACAAGTAAAGTTTATGAGTGGATGGCGACACTTCCATATGCAAGTTCGGGCTTGCACAAATTAAATGAGAGACTGGGCCTTACCATGAATGATTTAGCATGAGCTGGGCTCTGCGCAATACTGAGCACAACAGGAAGGGCCTGCCCAAATACCACCCTTTGTGGCCAGGACCAGCTTGCAATCAATCACACAAGGGAAGTTTCTTGGCTGCCTACGACGTCTCACTTCAGAATCAAGATCAAGGCATGATTTTGTTCCTCTTGCTTATCAGTTCAGTTCAATTTAGTGGTATCCTCCCCAAGATACAAAGATTGCCTGAGGAAATGTTCAGGAAACACGAGTGCGCGATGGTGGCCCAGAGCGGTTGTGGCGTGAATGCAGCGCTAGCTAGCTGGGCCTCGGGACTGATCCAGCAGGACTCTTCTTATGTTCTCCTGAGCAGACAAAGCCTGACTGATACTTTATGTGGCCTTTCTCTGGGCATGTTCTGTTTTCCAATCCCAAAAAGCAGCACAATCACAAAAAGGAACTAAAAGGCAGGTGCAAGTCTGATGCCATTTAAAAGCGGGCAAGCTCAGCAGATGGAGTGGCTTGAAAGGGTCCCCCATCGGGCTCTGATTGGGGAGAAGCAGAAAACCCGTGTTTGGCAGACCTCCTCATGCACCGCTCAACCTTCTGCACCCCTGGTTCTGCCAAGATGTCACCGTATGAGTAAGAAAAGAAAAATGCCACCTAATTCCACCCACTACCATGCTGAACCACACATTCGTTATGGGAGATAAATTTAGATTAAAGCTCTTTTTAAAAACTTCTTAAATAAGAAGCAGCAGCAACAAGCCTTTTAATTTACTCTTTTTTATTTTTCCCAAACAGAGGGATATTTCACTATTGTGTTCTTAACATCCTACAGAATCCAAGACATTCATTACAAACCAAATGAGGCATCAAATTCCACAAAATGAAGGGGATGGAAGAAGGGAAGAGCACTTGTTTTATTATTTTGAGGCATTATTGTGACACCATTATTGTAGGTCAGGGTTTTTTCCCTTTTACTTTCTTCTACAGGCTCTTCTTTTGACATACACACACCCCTTTCTTTTTGTAAAACATAAAATTTAGGCTGTATAAATAAGAACAACATTTAAAGTGAGGCAGTCACAAGAAAAAAAAGATAATTTTTTTCTTTGGTAAATCTCTCCTACTCTTTGATAGGAGAGACTCCTACTTGCTCATGATGCACATACCCCCAAATGATAAATTGTAAATCACATACCTCCAAATGATCTAGCATGGCAAGTAGCAGTTCAGCTTTTTAAAAGGGCAGCCCTTAAAAGTGGAAACACTAATTTACTGTGGAAATGTATACTTGACAAAGTAGACTCTAGTCCGTCAAAGCTCATGTCAGGTGCTACAGGATTCTGTTGTCCTTACCACAACACACTAGCCCAGTTTTTCCACTAGAACATTCCTCAACCCAGTCATCCCCCAGAGGTGTTGGACTCCACCTCTTATCATCCCTAGCCACCATGGCCATGCAGATTGAAGAAAGAGGCTTGCAACAAATTAGATAGCTCTTGTCCCGACTTAACAAAACATCATTTTTTCTTGCTCTTGAAATAGTTTTGGCGGACTCTCACTCGCTGATGAAGAGAAGAAGTGGCCTTCAAAGAAGTCTTCTTCCCAAAGATTTTATCCACAGCTCCAGGTTTCCATAGCAACAACTGTGCATCCTCTCCACCAGTCAACAAAGAACCATCCTCCATGTTCCAGCAGAAAGAGCGCACAGTGGCCGAGTGTCCTCCTTGAAGGGTTCCCACACAGTTCAGGCCATCAGCACAACAATCCATGAAATACAGGCTGCCTGTTGACATCCCTCCAACAACAGACAATTTCCCCAACTTTTCATGATACAAACCACCAATTAAGTAGTCCAGCTTGGCATTTCCTGCATTGACTGCTTCTCTGGCATCTGGAATATGCAACAATGTGATTGGCTCTGCGGTCTCCAGCCGGGTGAGATCCCACCAACAGAATCCTTCATCATGCGTCATGCAGTAGACCTGCTGACAGTCCTTTCCTGCCCATCCAACAAAACTTACTGATGAATTAGAGTTACAGGTTGAAAACAAAGCATCCTCTTCGTTGTCCTGGTTGATATCAAACACGTTCACCAATCCATCAGTGGACCCTGAAAGTACCCAGTTTGGTTTGGTGGGATGAAAACATATTTTAGTAATATCATCATTGTGGGACTCTGAATAGACGCCCAGGGGCCCTTTGCTGGAAGAGGGGCTGCTTGTGCATCCTCTGGCATCCCAGAATGCAATGAAGGTGTCCTCATCCACTTTCTCTGTGCCAGCACATAGGATAAGGTCATTGCAGCTTATATCGAAGCTGATGAAGACATCTGAAGGAGAGCCACAAAACAACTGTACTGGCTCTACCGTAGCTACTCGGGTATCCCAACATTTCACCGTTCCATCACTGCAGGCTGAAAACAAGGCACCTTCACACACATGTGCAAATCTGACACCATGGAGCAATCCAGGATGGCTGTTATATTCTCGCAGTAAGCTTAATGTCTCTCTATTGTAAACACCAACTGATTTGCTGGAACAGGAAACAGCTACTAAATGACTCTTTTTTCCCCTTGAAATATCTATGTCCAGGAAGTAAGTTGGGTCTTCTGCTAACGTGCACCGTTTTGCTATGTGGAGATTGGAAAATTGCTCTTTGATCTTCTCCATAGCAACTGGGACTAAAACTGCATCAAAAAGGTAGGTGCCTGCAATTAATAAATAGACCTAATTAAATCATTTTCCACAGTTAATCATTTCAGATGCAAAACATTTTGCACGTATCCTGTAAACCAAAATCATTTGACTCTGGACAGGGCCGGCCAAACCATTAGTCAGAGTGAGGCATTAGCAGAGTGAGGCATTAGCCAAACCATTAGCAGACGGGGGCAGTGATGACAGTCGCCCAGACACCCCGGCCTCTTTCCTGAGTGCCAAGTGTGAAGCATGCCTTGCAACCTGTCCCAGCCCCTCTATGCCATCAGGTGCGGTAAATGACACTGTCCAATTGCCAGTTAAAGCAGGGTCCAAGTCTCAGTCTAGCTCACTTCTGCACATAAAAGAGGCTGCCATCTTACCCTTCTCCTCGGGCAGCAAAAGATTTAGTCAGCCCTGCATATGGGGGGGACAGCTTCTCTAAACTCAGGAAGCACCTATTATCCAGAAGGTGATTTGGGAATTAGAGGGTCCATTTTGCTCTGGAAACTGAGTGGCATCTTCCAAGGGCTTAATAAAGCAGATACCATCTAGCACATGGGTCCTCAAACTATGGCCCGTGGGATGGATCCGGCCCACCATGGCCATCTATCAGGCCCACGCCACCATTCGCCGTCCGTGCACGTGCTTGAGCGGGCGGGGAGGTGGTGGCTTGCTTGCTCGGAGATGGTTTTGGACTTGCTGGGAGATCTCCGAGCAAGCAGGCGAGCCACCACCGCGCACGCCTGATGCTGCCTCGTGTGCGCCCAATGGCACCTCACCAGCCTGTGCCCCCAGGCACCCCCACCTCACCAGCCCACAACGATCGCTGCATATTTTCAACTGGCCCCCTATTCAAAAACTTTGAGGACCCCTGATCTACCTCCGGGTACTTTGCTTCCTGATATCTCTCACGGAAGGCTCCTGGAGGAGAGCCTCTGCTGCCGATCTCAAGGGGCGGGAGGGCAAATATGGCCACAGGCGTTCCTTTAGGTATCCAGGTCTCAAGCTGTTAAGGGCTTTATAGGTGATTACCAACACCTTGAATTGAGCCCAGACTTCAATGGGAAGCCAGTGAAGCTGGTAGAGGACTGGGGTTATATGAGAATAACACCCAGTCCTCGTCAGCAACCTGGCTGCTCTATTTTGCACCATCTGAAGTATCCAGACTCTTCAAGGGCAGCCCCACATAGAACATGTTATAGAAATCCAACTGGGAAGTAACCAATGCATGCATCACTGTTGCTAGGCAGTTGTCCTCCAGGTAGGGACGCAGCTGATGGATTAGCCGAAGCTGATGGAAAGCGCTCCCCGCCACCGCCGACACTTGACCTTCCAAAGTCAGCTCTGGGTTGAGGAGCACTCCCAAGCTGCAGACCCTGTCCTTTAGAGGGAGTGCAACCCCATTCAGGACAAGATCCAAGTCGCCTACCCAGGAGTTCGAACCACTCACCAGCAGGACCTCTGTCTTGTCTGGATTGAGCTTCAGATTATTGGCCCTCATCCAGCCCATTACCTCGACCAGGCACCAGTTCAGTACAGCCACTGCCTCACCTGGATTGGTTGAAAAAGAGAGGAAGAGCTGGGTATCATCAGCGTACTGATGATTCCACAGCCCACACCTCCAGATGACCTCTCCCAGCAGTTTCATGCAGATGTTGAATAGCAAGAGTGACAGAATAGACCCCTGCGGAACTCCATGGCATAGCTGCCATGGCGCAGAGGTAAAGTCCCTCAGCACCACCTTCTAGAATCGTCCGTCAAGGTAGGAGCAGAACCACTGCCAAGCAGTGCCTCCTACTCCCAGCCCCCTTAGCCTATGCAGAAGGATACCATTGAAAGCCGCTGAGAGGTCCAGGAGAACCAACAGGGACGCACTCCCCCTGTCTCTCTCCCTGCACAGGTCATACAGGGCGACCAAGGCAGATTCAGTACAATACCCGGGTCTGAAGCCAGACTGAAATGAGTCCAGATAATCAGTTTCATCCAAGAGAGCTTGGAGTTGTCCCACCACCAGCCGCTCCAACACCTTGCCCAAAAACAGGATGTTGGCCACCGATCTATAATTGGCGGCCATCTGTGGATCCAGGGATGCCTTCTTTAGGACTGGCCTGACTACCGCCTCTTTTAGAGGGGCAGGCACCCGGCCGTCCTTCAGAGAGGCATTGATGACCTTTATTTAAGGCATTTATTTAAGCTGACCACCCTTAATTTATTTAAGGCATTTCTATACCACACTTTACCATCAAACAATCAGAAACATTTAAGAACATCAGAAGGGACTTGCTGCACCACACCAACGGCCTATCTAACCCGAACATCTGTTCCCACAGTTGCCAATCACATACCTACAGGACACCCACATGCCTGGCATGAGGGCAAAGCACCCTCCAACTTGTGTTCTGCAGGAACTCTTAGTTCAGAGATGTGGCCCTAGGATATGGGAGAAGGTACTATCTAGCAATCATTACTTATTATCCCCGGATAGCTTAATCTTGCATAAATAAAAATACAAGTCCACCAAAACAGCAACAAAATGAATATCAGCAAAGCCACCACCATGATGCTGTAAGGATTGTTAAATGACCAGAAGAATAAAACATTAGTTGGGCACCGTGCATACCACAGCTAGACAGGGGCTTGAATCTTGGTCCTTCCCGCACTCCCAAGTTTTTTTAATCCATCCAATGCACCCTCACACTTGTCCAGATCCTAACACTAAAGCCAAACTGCAGTGCACATGATCTGGGGTAAAACCCTGAGTGACCTCAGTGGGGGCTTCCTTCTGAATCAACATGCATACGATTGCACTGCAAGCCGGTTCTGTGTCCAGTCAAAAGGTAGAATTACAGCCAGGCGCTCGGCAGCTGCTGCATTTTAAAACCACACTCAGGCACAGGGTCAAATTCATAGTTCTTACCATAGTGCAGGAAGACCTGAATTGGCCCGAGTTCAGAATGTGCAGCCCAAAAACATCCAGACTGCTTTTTAAACTGAGATGTATTGGGGGGGAGTATGGGAGGTTAATAAAGGAAGGAAGCTCCATTTAACAGAAATTGCTCTAGTTGACATGGGTGTTCCCCTTGGTGTAATGATTGGCCAAGTCTGCTACTAAGCTATCCAGAAGACCTGTTTGCATTTCTGAGCGCACAAGGATCCCTGGCCATGGTGTTGAAAATTGCCCACAAGAAATGGAAAGCACAATTTGGGCTATTTCAGTATTTTAGACATGGTTGTTTTACTTTGTTGTTGACTCGAGATGTTTTTAAGCGATGGAAAACAGAGTCTTCCAGCTACTGAGTGCCTTGAACAGTGAGTGATCCAACCCGTAACATCTCATCATGTGTTGGAATAACGTTACCCTGTTCGGCTATTCCTCCATGAGCTACAAACCCCCAGCCTGTTGTTTTGTTGGCTAAACCGTAATCTCCAGAAATACCCACTCAGACACACAAACACATTCAGCAAGGAAAAGCTTAACTCTCAAGTCACAAATAATCTCATTAAGACAATCACTGCAATAATATCCTGTGACAAGGCAGTCCAGGGTTAATTCTGTACATCAAAGGAACCCTTCAGCCCACATTTGCAAGTGCTTTTTAAAGCACTAAATAGTGACATCTTGTGTAAACTGCCATTTCATATTCCTTGGTGGAAAAGGAATGTTCCTTCTGGCTGCAGAGCCAAAGAAATCTAAGCTGACTTCAGCCTAGCCATCCTAAATCTGTCTTTTAGGGCTGCACAGGCTATTAGCAACATAATTACATAAACACTGCCCAGCTCCTAAATACCATTCAGTAGGCTAAGCTCTTCAGAAGGCCCAGACTGCAGCTTGCCTTATTAATTCCAGAATGGAAAATGAAGTTATGAAAAACAACGCAGCCCCTTTTCCTATAAAATATTTTACTAAACAGATCGTGGAACAGTTCATTGGATTAACACAGCCATGGAACACTGCCTACAGCGTGCGCTTGTTACATATCATCAAGTCGTCTCTGAAGTATGGCAACCCTAAGAAAGGAAGCCCTCCAAAAGGTCCCGTCCTTGGCAGCCCTGCTCAGCTCTTGGGAACACAAGGCTGTGGCTTCCTTGGTGGAGTCCATCCTTCTTGGTGGAGGGTTTTTCACACGGGGTTCGAGAGGTGACGAGGGGGGGGAAACATCCTTGACTTGGTCTTGACCAATAGGGAGGAGCTGATAGATGAAGTACAGGTTAGGGGAGCTCTGGATGCGAGTGATCACTCCATCCTTTGCTTTGAGATCAGGGGACTGGGGACGTGCAGCAGGTCGAGCACTAGAAACTGGGACTTCAAGAGGGCCAACTTTGGCCAACTGAAGGCCAGACTGGGGAAAGTCTCCTGGGAGAGGTTACTGGAAGGTAAGCGAGTTGAAAAGGGGTGGATGGCACTCAAAAGGGAGATTTTGGAGGCGCAAGCCTTGACAATACCTCTAGTCAGTAAGGTGGGGAGGCGGAGGAGAGTGCTGCCATGGATGCGAAAGGAGGTGGTTAGAGGGATTAGACGAAAGAGGAACCTCCGTAGGAAATGGTACTGGGGGAAATAGACAAAAGGGTATACCGGGAGGAGGAGGCCCGTTGCAGAAGGATTCTTCGCACGGCTGAGGCTGATTACGAGCTGAGACTTGCCAAGAATATCAAGAGCAACAAAAAGAGCTTCTTTCAGCATGTAAATAGGAAGAGGAAAGGGAGACAAGTGGTGGGACCACTAAATAAAGAGGAAGGAGATCTAGTGACTGATATGAGGGAACAGGCACAGATGCTAAATGACTATTTTGCCTCTGTGTTCTCCCCAAAGCAGGACGGGGGATATCCGCATAGGAGATTAGATGAGGCTGGGGACTTAGGGGCACAGATTAGAGCCCCCCCCCACCCAAGAAATTGAGGAACTCCTCAGGGCACTGGATGTTATAAAGGCTCCAGGTCCTTAAGGGGTACACCCAAGAGTACCTCAGGAGTTGGCGGGGGTTTCCTCAAGCCCACTGGCCTCCATTTTTGA